ATGTGGATACTGTATTGTTCTGTCTTTGGGATTGTTTTATGTTTAAATCATTTTTTGCTGGTTTTTAGTTTGTTTTTTGTCTGTTTGGGAGCTGACACAGTCTCTATGGGGATGGTGTTTTGGAGGAGTTAAGCTGCAGAGAGGCGTGTAAGACTGCAACTCAGCTTCCTGGTCCCAACTCTGGATAGTCAAGTTTTAGGGGCTTTAATAAATTTAGGCAGGTTTCTAGAAATGAGAGCTGCTCCATCCAAAGTGGGATGGATGCCGTCTCTCCTAACAAGACCAGGTTTCCCCCAGAAGGTTACCCAATTATCTATAAAGCCCACATTGTAGGGAGCTAATTACTGACACTTGTTTCTGTGATTTTGTACTTCTTGTCACTAAACATAATAGTGATCTATGGTCACTACTTGTCACGGCCATAGACTGACCAGTAAATTAAGAGCTTCAGCTGTCATTTTACCATAACATTATAATACAGCATCATCTTTACTGTAGATCCTGTGCCACTTTCTTTCCATCTCATGCTCAACTTTTCCTTAGCTAATGAACAACAGCCAGAGAAAGCTGAACTTCTCCTGAGGCAGTGAGTCATCCCAACCCGGAGTGGGTACTCCATTCCTTTTTGACTGAAAATCATGATGTCAGACTCAGAGGGGCAAATTCTCATTCCAGCCATTCACTCTAATACTGCTAGTTGGTGATCATTCTCAATGACGCTAAGATCATTCAAAAACCAAATATGTGATGTCTTTGTGATAGTTACAACAAACTAAGATATCTCTGAATAAGAAACTAAATTGCAGTTTAAACTGAAACTTCTGATTCAACAAAATGAGGGGCACACAGCCAGTGTCGAGAGTAATCATAAGTGTGTTTGATTTTGTGAGCTGTCAAATCGGCACGCTTTCTAAAGTCTGGATCCACGCTGCCAGCTCAGGATATCCAGAGGACATTTCATGAAGTTATTTATCATCATTTATAATCATGGATTAACGGTTCTAATTAGCATTCAAATTAACATTTAAATGAGTAAGATAATGTACCTGGTGAGCTCAAATTATCCCTCACAATGCATGAAACATCATGCAGCAATATAATCTGGAACAACTTGTTCAGTCAATGGAAAGAGGGCTTGTATAATTCTCCAGTTATAAACATTGTGGAGTAGTCTTGTGAAGCTGATGACTGAAGCAGAGAGAAAGAACAAAAGGTAGGAGGGTAAAAAACACAGTGAATCACGCTGAGAGAAAAGTTCATGTGTTTGATGGTTTGGGACTGATGGAAAAATAATAGCGTAAACAGACAGGCAGCTACAGTGAATGACATTTTACAGAAGGACAGCTTAGCTCAGCATTGTCCACCAACAGGATGGCAATGCTAACAGTGTGAAAGCAGAGAAAGGAAAAAACAATCACGTGTGCTGTGATTCCAGAAAGTGGTCTCCTAGTTTAGAAGAAATTCAGAGCAAAGTGGGTAGGAAGTAAACACGGAAAAGGAGTCTTTTTGTTGTTCTAAGGCTGCAGGCAAAGATTAGTAGGAGGGTTTAAGAAAACCGCATTATTACCAGATCTTTTTATATGGGAGTAAACATCCCAATGACATGCCTCAGGTCTTTCATTAGTGCACTGGAAATATTTCTTACTCGAGTTTTTTCTGACCTGAAACTGTCAAGTTTTGTCAAGTCCCAAGATCCCCTTGGCTCTCTCCCAGTCAGAAATCAGAGGTGTGCGAGTGAGTGTCAGCACACTTTGCATAACTTTCTCTCATTTCCACGTGAGCAGCCATTCAATCAGCTTTCCCAATTAGAGTTCACCTCAGCGTGACAAATCCCAGACCCACGCCACACTGAGGCAACTAAAGTATGTTGGGCTATTGTCAACTGCAAAGTGTTAGCATTTGGTCTTATAAAAGACGACTTATGTAGGACAGATCATTGGGTCAGTTACTGAACAGCAAGTCAATGGGATTTTTTTTTTTTTACTTTTTTTAAACTGACTACCGGTAAATGCCCATATTTGGTTATTTAAAGTGCAACCAATGAGGACAATCTGAAACTTTGAGCAGGGACCCAGGTGTCTTTCACAAGGACACTGCATCAGGGGCTCAGACCATCAAGCCCAAGCTAATGGCCAAAATGAAAGAGCATTACAGTAAACCCAAAATATAGCAAACTAAGTAACACCGGGTTCTGATGTAGAACAATTGTCTGTATTAAAGTCATTTAATTTATAGATATAAATTGAAATTTCATTAAATAATTTAAAAGAAATCATTTAAAAATAACCCAACTTGGGATAAATAAAGTATTTCTTATTCTTATCAGTATGAGCTATAGCTATAATGGACCTCATAGTGACCTTTACCCACTGTCAGCCTGACAGTTTTCTTACCTGCATGATCCCATATCTAGAAACAAGCTGTTTATTGTTGAAAAGCTTAAAAATAGTAATGTACTTAATACTAGTTTTATAGCTAATCTGTTTCCAGTGTTAAATGTTGTGTCTTTGAGTTGGATCCATTATGTTATTGGATCATAATCACTGACTCACTATGTACATAAATTTAATGTTGCAGCCGGAGATGATTTAAATGTCTTATTCTGCTGGATATCTTTAGCCATAGTAATAAATTATCATATGTTAGTAGATTTATGTTAAAATCTGCAAAATAACAAATATAATATGAACCGTCCCAGACAAAATGCAGTGGAGTCAGAGTTAAAACTATAATAAAAAGTTATGTTAGAGCTTAATTAACACAATCTCAGAAACAGTTTTACTTCCTTTAAATAAAACTATATTATTAAACAGAAACTTCAGTCTCAGTGGAAATAATTAAAAAGTATAGTCTTGGGGACAGATAGCAGAAGGCCTCAGAGCTTTGGAAAGAAAGAGATGATTAGCTGTAAGTAACTACTACATCAGGTCACTGCAAAGGAAATGTCAGCATTTCAATAATGTGCCACTAACACTTGAGTATCTACAAATGCTGAATCAGGATAAAATGAGGCATTTTTTTATACTAACTGGATAGAGGTCTGTATTCATGTTGGATAATTCCACTCTATTCGGCTTAGGAAGTTTCCCTGCAGTGTCAATATGAATAATATTATAAAAGGAGAATTTCAGCCACAACAGAGCACCAAGGACCTGCATTGGTAAACAAACACTTAAAATGCACCAGAATAAAATCACAATACAAATTCAGTGTGTAGCAGGAAAGCAAAACATATTCTTGTATTCATTAATCACCTCGTGAATTATTCCTAGTAACTAATAACTTTGTTACTTTATGTACCTCTTGCATGTCCTCTGAGGACAGGAACCTTGCAGGGTGCAGCACGAGCAAAGGTTGAAGCACAGAATACGCAACTCCCACAACAGAAAATCTGGAGGCTAAACTTGAACAGAACACAGTTCACATAGAATCTGCCATTCATCACAGGGTCAGTAAGTCCGTTTGTGAAGGTGGGATCATAATAATATTCTGACCAAGGAGAATTTGTTTTAGACAGGAGTAGAGATCAGGAAGAGGTTGATTAATTTTACTGGGTTAAAATGTTTGTGTGAATAAATGTGAGGTGCACAGTGATGAACTGAGAATTTACAAAAGTAAAAGTAAGACAAAGGAACAAAAGCAAAACTGAGGAGACGTTTTCTCTATGATTTGTTTGAAATAATAGGCGCAAGATGTCATTTGGTCCCATTTTTCAACTTAAGATAATATGTGATATTTCTGAATCCTGTCTTTTCACCAAAGAAGATAAAAACAATTCTCACAGGTCTGGCATGCTTGTGTTAATGATTTACTTTAAAATGCAGCTTATATGTTGCTTATTTTAACATGACTTGTTTAAGATATGTAAGCAGCGTTGTTAATATCGAAGCTGACCCATCTCTGGTCTCTAAAGAATCATTTCAGGCTGGAAGAACACCTAGAAATTAAACCAAGTTGAATAAAGTGGTGTCAGTGATCTTCCAGCTGAATACACAGTGTGTGGAAGAAAATCCTACCTTCAAAGGATTCAACTGACCTGAACAATTAAGTTTAGTGTGTCTTAATTAGCTACTTTCTTTCATTGTTAAATTTATGAATAAATGAACAACCAAAATCCATCAAGAGTATTTGTCTCACTTAGTGGTATGTCCCAGAAATCAAAACACTACGTTTACTTTGAGGGTGAGGTAGGGGAGTTTGTTCTAGGATGTTTTTATATTACCATGGGCCCAACTCAGTAAAATACCCGTTATTGTGAAGCTTCCTTTGGTGTTTCATAGCAACATTACCTGTGAATTGTGCAGCTAGACACACTACAAAACAGGAAGTTTATGGTTAAAGAGGCACACAGTCAAACCCTGAGGTTCAAAGGTTTCAACATATTATCAATCTTGTGGGCTAACAAGTGTTAACTGGTAAATATAATAAACCTGATAATACTGAGTCATGAACTTAGGACATAGCTGCCGTTCCTCTGCATTTGCTTTCATGCTATACCCTCCTTGACTTGGTCATGATAATGTCTTCAGGATGCAGCACGAGAAGCTGCTGCTCCTAAATCTCAAGTAGATTTTGCAGTCATAGCAACAGTCAGTGAACTGCAGCCAAGTTGTAGAAACAGGACTTCCACTGATCGTCTGATAGATCATCAGTGGAAACAAAGCCTGTGAATACTTATGTAGACATTCTTTCAGGTCATATATCAGGTATTTGTGCCTGATATGTGTGTGTGTATGTATATATTGATTATTGGTTGCTTCTCAAGCTATAGTGTATGGTGAATAATAGCTATGTACATCAGCAGTATGTAAACAAAGATAATTAGCTTTTGAGGAGACCGTACAGATGAAATTGCCAGTCAAACCAGTAGAAAAATATTCTACTTTATCCCCTTGGGGTTAGAGTGCTATAAAATTTAAATATAAGGACGTAAAGGTAAGTCATTGAATGTTGGCGTCAGTATGAATGTTCCCTCACAAAGTGAATTTTCTTCTCTGCAGAACTTTAACTCCGAGAACCCAAACTGTGTTGGCATTGAAGGTGTACTAGAGGCTTACTTTCAGAGCCTGCGAACTGTTCAGCTGTATGGTCCAACCAACTTTGCTCCTGTCATCAACCAAGTGGCTCGGTGAGAGACAAAGCTTTACTCACACACATTCTCTCATTGTAAGACAGAAATATCTTCTCATGCAGGAATACTTTTTACATTCAAACTCACCCGAAGGGCCCATAATGACTTCATATTCAAGTCAATTAAGTTTTATTTATAGCCAAGTTACAACAGTCACCTCGAGGCACTTTCAATATCTTAGTAAGGCAAAGATCCTACAATAACAGACAGAAAACCCCAACAATCAACACTCCATAGTCAACTGTTAGGGGTATTATAACTAAGTGGACACGATTGGAAATGACACTAATTCAGCCATGAAGTGGAAGGCCACACAGCGGGGGTCAGTGGATGCTGAGGCGCTAACTTCCTGCAGAGCCAATCGGTACAGACCTCTAAACTTCATGTGTCTCCATGGAATCGAGCAGCCAAGCAGCTTCATTTGGGCCTTACATCACCATGGGCAATGAGAAGTGTCAGATGCAGTGGTGTTAAGCACACCGCCACTGGACTCTAGAGCAGTGGAGATGTGTTCTACGGAGTGATCAATCACGAAGGTATCAGCTGCATGCTAGTTTTGCTAAGTTTTCATGCTTTGTGGTTAAGACTTCTCAGCCTGCTCAGTGGATTAACTGTAGTTCTGCCTATTGTAGATCCCTCACTCTGGTCTCCAGCCTGCTGACCACAGGGGAAGGACACATCTTTCTGTTGCCTGTTGTCACTGCGCAAATATTTATTTACAATTAAAGTTCTTTTAATTTTAGTTTGATAAGTTTATATATTAGCTTATTTACAAATCATAATAGTTTTCATAAAGAGACAAGAACAATGTTATAGAGCTTTCTCTGACAGGTACTTGGATCTGTGATAAACAACAACCCAAATGCTGATTATCAACTACATCCTATACTTATATACAAGTAGTAATACTACAGTGTATGTACATTCTATAATAATGAACTTTTACTGAAGTAAAAAAAAAAAAAAACGTGTACAGCACAGCTAGGACTAATTCACTATAATTAAAATCGAACCATAATTTATTAGTTAACTTATATTTTAAATTTTGCCTTATAGGATTGGAGATTTAAATGGAGTTCATGGTGAAATATTTGCCTTTGTATAGTTTATCTGTTGATGAATAAATTTTAAAAAATTGCTTTTAAAGAGTGAAAGATTTGTGCAACACGTAAGTAACTTGTTTACCAATTTAATTATAGCTGTAATTTCTACGGCTCATTGATGGATGTACCGATTTATCACTGGCTTCACTTTTATACAAAGAAAAATCTTAAAAGCTGAAGAATTCTGAGGCCCCTTTTGAAGCATTTCCATCCACTCATGGTACGTGCAGTTACATGTGTTTGTCTCTGAGCAACAGACTAAGCAACTTTATGCTGGCAGGTTTAAATGTCTGTATTTTGACTAAAGTTATAATTGCTAGATCCCAATGCACACTTCCATTCCTGATCCCCATTATGCTTTTCTCTCTTTTTTGAGAAATAAATAGTTGTTTCTTATTATCAGTGGAAGAGCTTCCAATATGGACATTTAGAATCTTTATAGAGGGTTTTTACGTCCACATGAGAGATAACTGAAATAAGTGAAAACAGATTAGGACTCGCATTAGGACACAGATGACACCAGGAGTATTGGGACTTGTCAGACTTAGTGAGCCGTGATGAATCGATTTCATCAGGAGTGCCTGAGTGGAAAATATAATTTGAGGAAAGATGTTTTGCTCATTTGGATTTTTGCCATTGTATCTTAATAACTGGCTACATTAATAAACTCCACACAGTAGTTACATTAATTTAATTTATTTGTGTGTATTTTGTGAAACTCAAATGAATTTTTCTCCTTTTGATGCCTAAACGTAACTATAAGAAAGTGAAACTGAAAAGTAACTTTAAAGAAGGATAAAATGTAAGTAAACACTGTATTTATAGCAACAAAGTAAAAAAAAAAAATCCGCACCAGAAGCTAAAACAATAATGGCACTACATGAGCATTTTTGGCAGTTAGGTGATAGCAATACCAGCAAACAGAAAAAAATAACAATTAAAAAAATATATACAGGCATTACACGTTTTTCCTTCAGTGGGAAATTGTGTTTGGCGTGCACACTATACGGACAAAAGTCAAATCATCTTAAATTCAGCAGTTTTCAGTTGCATTACCACAGGAATAGAATAGAATAGAATAGAATAGAATAGAGTAGAATAGAATAGCCCTTCATTGCCATTATACATGAACAACAAAATTATGGGTTCTTTACACCAAATGTACAGGACATCAGGAAAAAATAACAAACAGAAGAGATTTATACATTCAAGAGGAAATATACAAACTAGAGGAACATGTACAAAACAAGAGAAAGGCACAGAGAGCTTGCTTGGAAGGCCTTGGTCTGAGTATAGAGCCTGTATGTGAGTGACCTGAGTGATGAGGGTTACATGGCTCAGATTGGTGAGGTGGGTGGGCAGGGATGGGGTGTGGGGGATAAATTCAAGCACCAAACATTTGTGAAAGAACAGATTGCTCCAAAGAACTCACAAAATTCTTGCATGGTACCTTAATGAGATGACAACTCTGCAACACGCTGTACAATTTGTTCCCTCCTAGACATTCCATGATCAGCTGTACGTGTACCTGACATTATTGGAGTGGAAGCATTTATCAACCACAAAATGGCAAACCACAAAGTGTTGCAGATGGGCATTAGTATTAGCATAGAAATTGTAACCAGGAGCTTCATGGCGTAAATTTTCATGTCTGAGTAGCTTCTGTAGATACAATATGTAGGTGGCCTACTTTTCTTCAATAACTGTACCTAATTAAGATTTTTATTTTGTCTTTCCATTTAACTGTTAATACAGTTTTCTCATGAAATATTTACAGCCTATGTGTCAGACACTGTGATTTTTATTGTTTTTCAACATCCTCTGAACAACTGCGTATCCGCATTATCCTCCCCCTTAATCCTGCATCATAGTCTACCAGATCATTTAGGAACAAATTGGATTTTAAAACTTTTCTACAGCAAAACTACAGCTCGTGTTATGTTTTTAATGGATTGTGGTTGTTTATTGCCCACTATTGTATTTTTAGTCCTCATATAAAGCAATCATATCCTGTCCCAGTTAAGTGTGATTGTGGTTGCATAATCAAATGATTATAGCAGTACTGTTAAGCTGTGAGATTCAAAACTGCCAACCGTTTAGAAAAAGAACAGAAAATGCATTCTCTCTTTTAATCTCACTTCCTGTACTCACACGTTCTTTTTCATTTGCACTTTTTCTTTGATGCATTCTTTTACTTCTGTCTTCTCTATTTGTTCTTTGTCTTCCTCACTCTCCCATCTGTTTCCATTTCTTTTTGCTGCTATCTATTATTTACTGCAGTTCAAAAAAATCACCGTGCTCTTTTTCCTCCCTTTCTAGTGCTTGCTCATGCTGCTCCTCCTCTGTGTCCTCATCTTCCATCACCTCTTCACCCACTACTTCTTCATTGTTATCTATGTGGGAGGTTAAGAATAGTGATGAAGACAGAGAGCAGAGGAGCAACATTAATGGTGTAATCCATATGTACATAACTACTTAAGAGCAACTGTGTGTGACTATATTAGAACAACAGTGTTATTATTGCAGGCAATGAATGATACGCTAAACATGAGGGGTTTTTTATTTTATTCAGCTGAGTGGTATATATCAAAGAGTTAAATAAAGTTATATAAACTGCTTTTGAAGAAACATTTGCCTTGCTCTCTATAACTCCTTAGTTTAAAAGGGCAGGGAACAGCTAGTGACTGAATGGACAGATGGAAGGACAAATTAGTGGATTAATCGATTTATGGATGGACATGCAGAGGGACTGCTCCGAGGGTGACTGACACCAGGACTACATCCATCGCTGCAATGAAGGCTGCCTGCTTCTCCGCCTGGGTCAGCTAAGGCCAGGTTTCGACCAGGCCAGGTCGATCCCTGCTCAAAGGAGGAAAATCAGTAGGCCCCAGCCTGTTCCTGCACCATGAATAGGATCCTTTAAGGGCTGTTTTGCCCAAGGGTTAGGTATGGTATGGTATTTCGTCTGGTAGCTCCTCATATGACTTAGTCCTCTGAGTATCCTGTAAATCCACTCACACTGAGCGTCCTGTGAACCCCAAGCTGGTTAGCCATAAGCTATCTGAACCGGCCAGCCCAGAGACTTTGTTCCTGGTTTCTGCGCTGGCAGAGTGGTTTTAATATCTTGAGTCTGAGGTGATGCTGCGCCATTGTGTCCAGTGTGCCACGGCCCCAGCCCAGGGTGCCTGTGTGCCCTGCATATCCCGAGCCTCTAGTGTCTTCAGAGGGTGCCAAAGTGTCTGAGCTTGAGCCAAAGTGTCCCAAGCTGCTTGAGCCATTAGATCTTGTTTTATCCAAGATGGCCTCCCTTTATCTTTGGTCTGCGGACTTATTTTGTTTTCACCGCCTTTGTTCCATCTCAGCCTCCAGCCAGGCCTCTACAGGGATACTGCTTTCACAGTTGGCCTTCTTGAGCTTGTGCTTGGCCGCCACTGCTCAGCGGCTGGTTCCCTGCCCTGCTTCACCAATACCCGCACTCTACCTAGTCTCGAGAGTGAACCCATCTGCTCTGCCTTTTTCATCGCTGCCAGACTCCCACCAAGTTCCAGAGATCTTCATGTCTGTTGTTGCCACCCCCCTGCCAAGCCTCCTAAGAGGCCCCTTCTCCACTGCCAATGTCAACAACAGTCACCTGCCAAGCAAATAAAGGGTACTGTCATCTCCACAAATGCCAGCTGCTTGACAAGCCTTTGGAGGCACTCCATCACCTCTTCTGGCCTTGAGTCCAACCTATGGACGGTCTTCACTGCCTTCACCAGAAGATCTTTGTTCCTTCCCTCATTGGTCTCCTCCAAGGGAATCAGAGGATCTTCAATGCACACCTCTGAAGAGGTCTGTGTCACAGTCTGGCTGGGGCAGACTGTATGTGTTGCAGAAGAGGACTCAAACGCAGAC